GCAGCCGCCGTTGCAAGCCAGCAGCGACGAGGCAGCGCGATGCCTTGCAGTCGGTGCCAAGCTCTGCCTCGCCTCCTGCCTCGGCTCCAAGTCCTTGACTCATCGCTGGGGGCTTTGAGCGAGGTGCCTCCGGGCCGAGTCAGGGCGAGGTGTTGGGAGCTCTGAGCGAGGCGACGACCGACCTCGAGGACGCTGGAGAAAAAAGCAAGAGACAGGGGCCAGAGCAACATAACCGACGACAGCAATAATAAGAGCACGCGCGCGCAGCACGACAGACGCAAGCAATCGCAGCAACGACGCAAACCACAGCAACCAGAACAGCAACAACGGCCAGCAGCATAACTGCACCACCAACCACAGCACAAGCGACATCAAGCACAACGGCAGCACCAGCAGCCGGCGCAACAGCAAACCACGACAACAACAAGACAAACGACAACAATCGAACAACAGGAAGCTACCAACGACCGGTGACCACATGACGAGAACAACGAGAAGGTAGAAACAATAAGCGAACAACGACAAGCCAACGACAGCCATATGCCCGCAACTTCCCGTGGCCACGCTGGCTCGGGGATTTTTTTTGTTCGAGCCACCGCGGCTTTGAAGCAGGTCTCCGATGACCGCGCCGATAAAGCAGACGAGCTCGTCGAGCCTCTGGGGTCTCGCGAGCTCGCCCTCCGAAGTCCCCAGCCCTCGCGAGATGCCCATAACGCCCTTTTTACGAGAGCACCCAGTCTGCCGCGAGTTTCTTCAACGATCTCGACCCAGGGGCGCGAGGCTGAGAGAGCAGACAAGGATTCCCCCGCGTCTTCCCCCCCCCCCCACCCCCGCCCCTTCCCCACCCCTTCCAGGCCCCGAGCTGTTTCATCCCGCTGTGTTTCTCCGATCCCTGCTGGGCGCCCACCGCGGGCGCCTTTTGCGTGCGAGATTGAAATCGACTTAAAGGAGCTGGTTTTTAATAATTAAGAAACCTACGGTTTCGAATCCAAGAACTTTCTGAAAATCAATATTGGGGCCATCTTCCGCTCCCCTTTTCTCCCGCCCTTCTTCTTCCCCCCTTCCTTCTGATGCTCCTACTACAACTGCAGTCAACCCGCGTAGTGTGGATGAGCAATCATCCGATGGTTGCCCTTGCGCCCCTGCCCATTTCGGCCCATGGCCGGCATCTTTGGCTGGCCTGCCCCGCTCGAAAAATGTCGACATGGGCCTTCCAGGGCCCGTGCTTCGTTGCCGCGCATCCACGTCGCGCGGGCCGACTGCGCCACTACTGCCGCCCCCCCCCCGCCCCTTTCAGGAGCGAGCCGCGGCCGTGCGCCGAGAGCTTGCGAGCGCCGAGGGCCAAGCCCTCGCCCCGGGCGACTTCGGCCGAGGCGCGCAGCGAGGCTGCGGCCAGAGCGGCAGACCCCAGGGGAAGCCACTAGGGGGCGCGCAACTCCGAGCTGCGCCCGCGCTGCGATGAGGCCCGACAGCGCAGTCCAAGACCCAGATCTCTCTCGACTGGAGCAAGCACGCGGGCGAGAAGGGCGTCGAGAGGTTCGCCCTCCTGCTCGGCGCCGCGAAGGCCAGGCTGCGCAATGAGTGGCGCTGGGGCCGCGAGACGGCCACGGGGTGGCACGGTCTTCGAGCAGCTCCCGAGAAGGAGCTTGTCACGGGGAGGCCCGGCAAGAACGGCCCCCGAGCCCGCGGGTTTGCCCGCCCGAACCGCAGCGAGCGCAAGAGCGAGGGCGCCAGGCTGTCCCGCGACGCCCCCAGTATGGTCACAGCCAAACGCCCGCTCGAGGGCGCCATGCGCCGCCTGGGGCGCTGGCCCCAGCGGGGGCGCGAGCGCGGCCGCGAGGTCAGGAAGAAGACCGCCCTGGCGCGGCTGCGCTACGATCTGGCTTTCGAGCCGGACAAGCGGCTCCACTTGCATAAGGTCGGCCACGAGAGCTACAACGCCGAAGCCCGCAAGAGGGTGACCAAGCGTCTGAAACCCTTTCAGATCAACCAGGCGCACAGGAAGGACTTGGAGTGAGTGGGCGAGCTCGTCACCCCGAGGCTCTGCGCGAGCGGGCGCAAGGGCCAGCGCGTCTCCGACCAGGGGCTTCAGACCCAGCAAGCACGAGGCCGAGCTGACCTGGGCCACGGCCGACAACTACAATTAATATTACCCCTGCGAATACTATCCCTCCTCCCATTCCTGCGTCTGCTCGCCGCGCGCCCACCATGTTGGCGCACCCCTCGCCAGGATCGTGACCCCATAAGGGGGCTTCGCAGAGGGCCCCAGCGGCAGGGTTTCAATGCGTCTCCCCGCCCATTTCGGCGCACCCCTCCCGGGGGTCGTGGCCCCATAAGGGGGCCCTTCCGAAGGCCCCAGCGGCAGGGTTTGCGCGCGCCCCCCCTGCCGATGTTGCCCCCCCCCCCCCCCCGAGGATTGTGGCCCCCCGCAGGGAGCTCCATCGAAGGCCCCAGCGGCAGGAATTGCACTCGTCCCCCAACCCATTTCGTCACACCCTTCACGAGGACCGCGGCCCCGCAGGGAACTCCACTCAAGGCCCTTGCGGCAGGGTCTGCGCGCGTGCCCCCGCCCAGTTCGGCGCACCCCTCACGTGGATCTTGGCCCCATGGGGGGCTCCACCGAAGGCCCCAACGGCAGGGTTTGCACGCGCCCCCCCCGCCCATTTCGGCGCACCCATTTCGAGGGTCGCGGCCCCATAGGGAGCTCCTCCCAAGGCCCCTGCGGTAGGGCTTGCATGCGTGCCCCAGCCGGTTTCGGCACGCCCCCCACGAGGATCGCGGCCCCATAGGAACTCCACCGAAGGCCTCATCGGCAGGGTTTGCATGCGTCCCCCCGCCCAGTTCGGCACCCCCCTCACGAGGATCGTGGCCCCGCAGGGAACTCAACCGAAGGCCCCAGCGGCAGGGTTTGCATTCGTCCCCCTGCCCATTCGGGCGCACCCATCACTAGGATCGCGACCCCGTGGGGAGCTCCACCGAGGGCCCCAGCGGCAGGGTTTGCATCCGCTCCCCCGCCGATGTCGGCACACCCTTCACGAGGATCGCGGCCCCATACGTAGCTCCACCGAAGGCCCCAGCGGCAGGGTTTGCATGCGTCCCCCCGTCCTTTTTCGGTACACCCTTCACGAAAATCGTTGCCCCACAGGGAATTCCACTGAAGGCCCAGCGCCAGGGTTTGCATACGTCCCCCCGCCCTTTTCGGCACACCCCTCACGAGGATCGTGGCCCCATGGGGGGTTCCACCGAAACCCCCGGCGGCAGGGTTTGCATGCGTCCCCCCGCCCATTTCGGCGCACTCATCACGAGGATCGCGGCCCCATAGGGGTTTCCACCGAGAGCGTTACCCACAACGCGGTATTCACAGCTGCGTGCGGTTGGGGCCTTCGCCAGTTGTTTTTGTTGTTTTTGATGTTGTTGCGGCTGTTGTTGAATATTCGTTTTTTTAATAAGGATAGTTGTTGATATACGGAGACGGTTCCGCGCGCTCTCTCCTCGACGCTGGCTACATGTTCTCTGAAAACGTGGCTCCCGCTAGGGCGTTGGCTTGAGCATAAATGTTGGCCTTTGGAGGCCAAGCTACGACAACAACGGCTCCCGCTCGATACCTCGTCGCAGTTTACCCCGAGACACCCTGGCCAGAGATGCCCCCGAACTCAGAAACGGCCTTTTCGCTCGAGACGCCATCTTAATCCAATTAAGTCGGCGGAGGCCCAGCCACGACGACAAGCGCTCCCGTTCGATACTTTCTCACGGTTTACTCCGGGAGCCTCTGGCCAAAAAGGCCCCCGAGTTCAGGAAATGCGCTCGCGTTCGAGATTTTCCCGTAATGAAGGCAAGTTGGTGGAGGGCCGTCCGGACACGGCGACAAGGGCTCCGGTTTGATATTTCTCCATCGGTATTCCGAGAGTCCCTGGCCAGAGAGGCCCCCGAACCTTAGGAACGCCGCTCTCGCTCGAGACATCCTCGCATTTCAGTCAGTGGCCGACAAGGAAGCTATTCCCCCCCGAAGTGGGTGCAATCGAAGACGAAGTGTGCGGGTATCGAGGGTTGGGATATACGGAATGCAAGACACGTGTGCCAGTAAGAGCGAACAGTCTTAAAATGATTGTTGTTGTTGATGATGTGAACGTTGTTGATGGTGTTGTTGATGTTGTTGATGTTTCCTTTGGTGTTGTTGGTTGTGGTGGTGATGTTGCTGTTGCTCTTGTCGTTGTTGTCGTTGTTGTTATTATTGTGGCTGCTGTTTGATAAGTGTTGGTTGTGGATTGTTGTTCGTTCTTTGTTGCGTCGTCCCCCCCGCGACCTGGCCAGTGGACCACCCGCGGCCCATCCCGCGACCCAACCGCGACCCCGTCCACGACCTACCCCCGATCCACCCGCGACCCACCCGCGACCCCCCGCGTGACCCGCCCGCGACCCACCCGCGACCCACCCGCGATCCATCCGCGAACGTGACCCACCCCGCGACCCACCCACATTGCTTCAACCAGAAAATCAGCGCCTGCGGCGAGCTCGTTGTATAGTTTGTAAAGCTTGGGCGCCTGCGTTGGGCTCCGCCAGGGCGTCGCAGAGTGCCAACGTTTCCGCCGTCCCCTCATTCTTATCCGCAACTTTGTTTTAACGAACACATCGGCGCCAGCGGCGAGCTCGTATAATTTGTAAAAGACAGGGGCATGCGGCGGGCTTCTTCAGAACGTCGCAGACTGCCGACGTTTCCGCCGACCCCCAGCAACTGTGGGGTGCTACGTATTCATAGATCTTGCCCGCATCCGAGGGCCTTGATCAGGCCCTGGGACCGTCACGACACGACTCGGGATGATAAGTTGGTCCCAGTGAATTGGTTCAGTCCTTTGGAGAGTCAAACTGTGGAAGAGAAACGGTGGCGTTGGCTGTCTTGGACGGCGGATGTCTTCCAATTTTGATAGTTCAGGCGACAATAGCAAACAGAGCCCGACCCTCAATCAGAGGATGTTGCTGTATTCCAGTTTGGCTTGCCCGAGGTGGGTTCTTAAACGAGATATACCACCCAAAGAACGAAAAGAGTTGGCCTGACATTGCTGTCATGGGCGCCGAGCAAAGCGACCTCAACCAGTTCCGCGCTGCTGTCGAGGACGGTTCGAAGTCAACGGGGGCATGCCAACAGGGGAATCTGAGCATTCGCAAGGGCTGTTCGAGCCCCCGCCTTCAGGATCGGGAGGTGTCCCGCAGAGTCCTTGGTGTGTGCAAAGTCAGAGCCTTAATTAGTCATTCACATCGCCTGTTTCCTTGGTGTGATCAACCGATGAACTTCCTTTTTCTCCGCTTCTGCTCCTCGGTGCGCCGCTCTCGTTCCCCTCACGCTCTTATCCTTCGCCCTCCTTTTCTATCCTTAGCCACTCCCTGCCCCCATGCTCCGTCATCCGGTTGGCCCCAGAGGTGGCCCTCGTAGCTTTTGTATCAGACCTACCCCCCTCTCTTCTTTGTCGTCCCTCCCCTGCTTGACTGTCCAGACCGTTGCGGCACATGCACGACAACACAAAACAGTATGTTCTGTCATGTTCTTCTCGGGTATGTTCTGTGACATGCTGGTGCCCTTCATTTTGTCATGATATGTGTATGTTCTGTTCTGCCATGTTCTGTCATGCCCATGCTCTGTTCTGTCATGTTCTGTTGTGTCATATTGTGTTCTGTCGTGTTTGTCGAGGGCGTGAGGCGGGACACCCTGGATGTTCGGGACAACCTGGGGTCGGGCGGCCGCGGTATGCAGTGTGTGTTCTGTTGTGTTTGTCGAAGGCGCGAGGCGGGATTACCGGGACACTCGGAGGGATCTGGCGGCCGCGGTATGCAGGGTTTGTTTTGTCGTGTTTGTCGAGAGCGCGAGGCGGGATAACCGGGACACCTGGGACAATTTGGGGTCTGGCGGCCGCGGTATGCAGGGTGTGTTCTGTCGTGTTTGTCGAGGGCGCAAGGCGGGATAACTGGGCCACTCGGGACATCTTGGGGTCTGGCGGCCGCATGCAGGGTGGGAGTGGCCGGGAGGTCTGTTCTTAAAATATTTAGCGACCCCAACCTGTCCTGTGGGGAACAACACACAAAACACGAACAACATAACAAAAAACACATAATATCCGGAGAAAAGCCCCAATCAGATGTTCGTTGGGGCAATGGGGCTATATGGGCTATATGGCTATAGGGGTATAGCGATATAGGGTTATTGGGCTATTGGGCTATAGGACCTATAGAACCTTAGGGCTATAGGGCTACAGAGCTATAGGGCTATAGGGCTCTAGAGCGATAGGGATCTAGGGCTCTAGGGCTATAGGGCCATAGTGCTATTCCGCTGTAGGGTTATAGGGCTATAGGACTATAGGGCTACTGGGCTATTGGGCTATTGGGCTATTGGGCACCCCCGGGCACCCCTGGGCACCCGGGCCCGGCCACCGAAATCGGCCACGGCCATCCGGGCACCCCGGCACAACCGGGCACCCGGGCACCCGGGCACCCGGGCCCAGCCACCGAAATCGGCGACTAACCTCACCTAACCCTTGAATCCGCTAGGACCCCTACAGAGGCAAGCTCTGTTTGGGGAACACACACACAAACAAATACCGGACGGAACATGCAACAAGCTCGCAACACAAACACAAAAACCACACACGCACACAAACATGACTACAGTATGGTTCTGCATTTGCACACACAAAATCTTCGGAAGATAAGGACCCGACCTTCCTTGAAGACTCCGTCTTGTAGAGGAGGAGGAGGAAAAGGAGGACTAGTTGTCCTTTCAACTACCTGTCGGCTCGACTTTGTGTCTGCCTTCCGAGCGCTGTGGTTCGACCTGGCTCTGAAAAATGAGCTCTAGAGCTCCAGTCGTCATCATTCACGGAGTCAAGACTTTTTCGCGACGTAGGATGTCTAGTACAGGGGTGCATGTGATTCGCTCGTCCACTCGACACGCCAGCATGCCCGCAAATTGCAGAAATGGAATGCGGAGTTGAGATTCACTGGTGGTGACGATGGGACGGCGAACCAACCCTTCCCAATTCCATCAGATTCCCCTTCCCCGGCCATCGCCCCCTGACGGAGTTCGCACCAAAGGACCATTTCCGGAACGTGCGTCCGATGGATTCCCCCCTCAACCGTATTCATTATGTCGTGGGCTCTCCCCTGGTAAAGAAAGACCTTACGCGATGTCATTGCGATAAAGCATTCATGGTATACATTGTGTCCGACTCCTCGATCACAGAAAAGAGTGCAGCGGAGGAGGAGGACAAGCTGACCACCTTGTGCACAGTAAGCTTCAAGCGGCACTTCCCAGGGGTGCCTTACCGGGTCGCGCTGCTGGAGGGGAAGTCTTTGGAGCGGGCCTATGGGGCAGGCATTCAGGGAAACAGAGTTTTTTCAATCAACATGTTCCGTGGGGCGCTGCTTTGTGAGTGCGCCCGTTGCCCCGGTTGGAGCACCATGGTCGAGCATTTTCTTACCACATCTTCGCCGGTCTTAGAGCGCATACCGAAGGATTCATGGCAGTACAAGTATTTGCAGGGTCGCAGCATGGGGATCCATGGTTTCTTGGCCGCCGACGACTTCTGCGGAAGGCCGGCAAACGAGTTTGTGAAGGAGGCGTATCGGAGGGGGGGTGCGTGCATCATGGCACGCGCACGGCCTTACAGTGAAGGAGGCAGGCACATGGAGTTGATGCCATCATCGTCCGCAGACGAGCTTGTGACCAAGGAGACTATATACTGGGCGATGTGCTCCAACAGTGAGCTACAGCTGCAAGGGATCAGAAAGAAGGCGGACCCCCGCGACTGGAAGACCGATTGGGAAGAGGTGCTCGCCGTGTGGTGCAAAACCGAAATTCATGGTTCCTATCTCGCAGTCTGGTTCCTGTTTCGTTTCTCCATTCTTTGTATTATTGGCCCTTCGCGTATCCCCACCAGCACATCCAGCAGCGATACCCAGGCGAGTTGTATGCCGTGGCGGCTTATCTGGGCCATCTTCGTTTCCCGTCGGGGCAATTTATGCATGCCTTCGGTGCTTTGTCGGGGCCCTTTTTGGGCCCCCCGGAGGACATCGATCAGCGACGGGGGTCCTCAATTACGCCTGCCATTCGCCTCAGAAGTCGTGTCTTGGGGCCCACGTGGGCTCCCTTGGGCCATCTTGGGAGCATTGGACGCCGTCTTGGAGCCATCTTGGAGGGCATGGATCATACAGAAGGGAGTTATCGAGTAGCCCTGCCCTCCTTGAGCCCTTGAGCCCGACAGATCGCGTCTTGGGGCCTTCTTGGGGCGCTCTTGCGCGTCCTGGGGGCCGTCTCGGAGCTCTGTGGATTTCTCTTGAGCCATCTTGGAGCTATCTTGAGGCCTCGGAAGGCCACTGGAAGCGAACGGTCTATCAGGCAAACAACAAACGCCTCGGGTGTCCCGCAGGGCTTTGAAGGAGTTTGTCCTCTCAGAGGCCTCCTTGGGTGGCCACGTGGAGCCGTCTTGGGGCCGTCTTGGGGCCTCTTGCAAACGCCGTCGTAGAGGCCCGCTGGAGCTATGTTGAGGCCATATTGATCGCCATCTTGGGCTATCTATATCTTTCTTGGAGCCATCTTGTGCCACTTTGGGTTCTTTAACTGCTCGCAAGCCCCAATGGGAGCGGGTAGGGGGGGTCTGAGGTGCCCGCAAGCCGTAAGTCGTCTCGCTGACGCCCACCCGCTCTCTTAACACACACGTAGCACTTGAGTCTTAGTATATTCAGTGGTCGCCATTGGATGGACAGCCACTTGGGACCAACACAGACGCCAGATGCGCGACGCTGGTTTGTTGCGCTACGCGCAACGGGTGCGCAATGTGCCCCAGGGGCCCAAGCGTGCCAGGCGCGCCTGGGGCGCCAGACGCGCCACGTGCTCCGCATTCTCAGAGTGCACCACATGCTCCACCCGTGACAGGTGCTCCAGCGCGTGTGCTAGCACGCATCGGGGAACGTGTCGCCCCCGCCCCACCATCCTAGTCACAAGCCCATGCAGAAGTGAGGCGGGGTGGCCGTTATCGTGAATGGTGTGTGCACCCGCAATCACTTAGCATGCGTTTTTCGACAGGAGCGATGTGTCCGCGCGCACCAGACTGCACGAGGTCGCGCCCCTCATCCTCGACAGAACAACCACGACAAAACGACCGCCGGGTGCCCGCGCATGGTGAAAGATGCTGCGGCAACGTGTGTTGTGCATGGTTTGTTGGCGGGGCTTGTAGGGGGGGGCTGTGGACATTGTCCCTGGTTTGCCGCCGGTCAGTTGGGGGAGGGCGTGTTTGCCAAGGCAGAGAGACAAGCTCATCCCCCAAAGGGACAACACACGGGTTTTAAGGGGGAGCTCTCCGAGCTACGTCCGCCCAACAATTTGCTGAGATGTTATGTTCTCTGCGAGCGTGGATCAGGGACACAGTTAGGGGGTGATAGACTCAGGGGTGAATGCATCGACCCCCAGTCGCCTACTCATAGCCGAGAGGGTCCCGACAGCCCACCCTGCCCAGGACCGGGCGGATTCCCTAGCCGGGTTCTACGGATCCTTCGGCGATGTATCGCCGATGATACGCGACGTTTTCTCCCCGTGAGTTGGTCCCCCTTCTAACGTTACCGCTCGAGTGAGGGTGGGTGAGGAAGAACCCGGGAGCAGGTGTTCAAGAGGCAGAGAAAAGACGCATTCATTGCGAAGCATGGCAGCGCGGAGTTCCGCCGCGAGTTGGAGGGCAAGTACAAGTCCCAGGGATCGAGACACGCAATGGGCCCAAACCAGTCTACCACGGTTGGTAGTCATGATGATGGCCGTTCCCCAATACGCAGCCACTCCGTGAATCAGCAAGACGTTCTCGTCCGATTCGGGGCGACCATGGATGATCGAAGGATGGAAATCATAGAGAAGCAGAAGGACAAAGGGCTCAATTTTGTGCTCTTGCTGGATTTCTCGGAGACGTGGGCGGAGGTGATGGTCTTTCTGAAAACATGCCGCCAACCACATCTGCCTGCCAAGATG